TGCTGTTTGCGGTTTTCATCAGAGGAATTTTTTTAAAAGGTTTCTAAAGATTTGCTATATCCTTTTTTGTTTGTTATTTTTATGTTATTTTTGGGAAAAGTGATTTTGAGGAGGAGATAGATTTTTGCCACTGATTTTCCTTATCATATTCCAGACATTTTATTTCTTATTGGATTTTATTTATGTAATCTCTCCATGATTTTCTTTTAGTTTCTTTGATGTCTCTACGTGCTATTTCTCTTTTTTGTTTGAATAAATTTAAATTATTATAATTTGTAGGTTGAGTATTAAATTTTTGTAGTGCTACTCTACATAATCTTATTGCATTTTGCAATCTTTATCGAACCATAGTCTTTGATGTTTATTTGATTCACTTCTTTTTGGTATACATTTTCTCGCAACTGCTATTAATTTTTTTGTCATCTTTGTTGGTAAGTTTTTTGACAGCATTGGTTTTTATATTCCTTCCAATCTGTTTTGTTTAGTTTCCATCAAAGGAAATGATTTTCAATTGGTTCTGAACTCTTCAGTATAATTGGATAGCGATCACTGATGCATGAATTGTCGAGAACTTGGTAATTGTAATCCATAAAAATAGACGGCAGCGGGGGGGGTCACACAGTGATAGGTCAATTGCTGAGTATGTACCTCATGCAAGATGTAGATATGTATTTAGACTTATCATTTAGTAAACATAAATCATTAATTACATTTTCCAGGATTTTCCCTTTTTTGTCTTGGGTCCCCATATAATATTGTCACGGTTAAAGTCACCAAATAATATGAATTGTTTCAATAGTTATTCTATTAGTTTATTTAGATCAGTTTCTTTTATGGAATTGTGCAGTGGGATGTAAATAGAGCAGATGTTAACAGTTCTACTTAGGGTAGTTTTTGAAGCAGCTGCTTGTTGATTGCTTTCTAGACGTATTTTACTTTGGGGGGGGACGTCATTTCCGATTCGGATTGATACACCCACTGGTGCCCAATGTTGAGTGTCATGTATGTAGTTATATTGAGTATAGTTTTTTTATTTTTATTTTATTTGGTTTTAGGAAAGTTTTTTGAAGGCAAATGATAGCAGGAAGTCGATTCGCTATGAGTCGGAGTAGTTCATTTATGTTTGCATTTAGGCCTCAACAATTGCACTGAATAATCTTTTGCATCATGTTTATGTATTAAGGAATTGTTATGAGTTTTTGCTTGTCTGCTTTATGCTTAGTGAATGACGTGTCCATAATTTCTATGTTCTCTGGTCTATTAGCATTTTGTTTCTTGTCATGTTTTGTTCTTTGATGGTCTTTTGCTTCCGATTGTTTATTTGATCTTGTTTCCTTAGATTTTCCATTGGCTTCTTTTGACTATCTTTATCTGGATGATGACAGTTCCCTTGTTTGAGATGGGAGAGAGTTTTCTTCATCTATATCGATTTCTCTTGGTTCTTCAATGATGTACTGGGTTGTGTTATTTCTTTTATAGAATTTTTGATTCTCTTGTGAATGCTTGGTGGGTTCTATTTCTTGAAAGATTTTTGTACTTTGGATTGGGATTTTCAAAGTTAATTGTTTTGAACTTATAGATTCTTTTTTGTTTGAAGCTGATGGGATAAGATTTGTCTTGACTATAGGAGTTTGATTTATGTATAACATACTACATTTTAGTTGTTCTATTAGACTTTTTAATTCATTTATTAGACTTTTAAGATCTTGGCTTCTTATTGTATTGTTCTCTTGGATGTCATTTTGATGATTTGATATTTTAGCAATATTTGCATAGGATGTTGGAAGTTAATTAGTTTCAAACTGTTTTCTGGCTTCTTGGAACGAGATTTTTTACATGTATTTCATTCTTATTATTTTATTTTTATTTTTCCAGATGTTACACTCTTTAAAATCTGCTGAGTTCTTTTTTTCTTTTTTTTTGCAGTTTGGACATAAAGGAGGGCCTTTCACAGGGTGACTCTTCATGATCAGACTCAAATTCACCACATCTTTGATGGACTAATGCTCTCGTATAATGATTTTGTAGATGACATTTGTAACATCTACAAGGATTAGGAATGTATGGCTCTACCTTGGCTATTGTGCATCCTATCTTTATTTCTTTTTGTAGAGTCGGTTTGTTGAATGTCAAAATGTATATGTTGGTGTTTATTGATGTGTCATTTTTTTTTTTACTTGCATTCTTTTAACATCTGTTACTCCTTGCTTTTTTAGGGTGACATCATTTTTAATTTCTTCTGATGAACAAAGGGACAGTTCTGGGCATTTTATTAATCCTTTTGATGAATTAAGAAATTGGATTAAGACTTTTGTTTATTTGCTTGATTTTTAGTAAATTTTCAGCATTATTTTTGGTTTTTACTTGAAGTGTGTTATTTTTCTTTATTTTTTTTAGTGATTTTGATTCTATCATGGCTGATATAACCTTTTGCAACACAAAAGGTGACACTTTTTATTATTTCACCTTCTAATGATTCGATAACTAAAAAGTTGGAAATAGTTTTTTTTTCTGATATTTCGTTTTCACTTTCTGTTTCGGAAGTCTCATATTGTCTCTTTGTTCGTTTATAAGAGATAGCCATGTAACTTTGAATTTTGTATTTGCCACCTGTGTTCCCCAACCATCTTGGAGTTCCTTCTTAAGGGACGCTATCAGGGGAACCATTCACCCAGATCCACCAGGACTACACGGACAGTATAATCATGATGGAAGTGAACATGAGCACCTGCATTCCCCCACCATATCTACCCAAATTTAGTATGGTGTAAGGATTCGCAGCCATGTCGGAGCCATTATCTTTCATCCCAACTAGCCCTTGCCACTATGTGACTTGTCTATTGGAATGGATTGGGCTATTCCATCTGCCCGTCTATTTCAGGTAGGGACCAAAGTGATGTATTGTCGAAACTCCTGGTCATTTTATACCCAATCAGGAGTAACCAGGACTCCATCCCCGGGCATCACAGGTCGCCACCCATGGCAAAAAGGTGGTCCCATTAAGAGGAATTTGTAGTTTTTGGGAATCGGTTTTCATGAATGTGCATTTTATATATTACAATTTGTATCGCTGGTATTTTTACTATAAAATCCCATCTTTACACTAACAGGTGCTACCAGCCCGGGTCAGGGTGGACCTGGGAACACCAGCAATTAAGAGGTGGTTCCATGCTCCTCAAAACCTCCTGATCAGAGGCCTTGCTGCTGGATGTAATTTATCATCTTACCCAGGATGAAGTAACATTCTGAGAATGTTTAAACTTTTCTCAACCTATATATGTTCTATTTTTTTCTATTTGTTTTCCTACAACACATTTTAGTTAAGTGTTACTTGAAAGATGAAGTGGAAAGATTCTATTGAATCAATTGCTAGGTTTGCAGCTAGGAAAGTTGGTTCACTGTGTTGGACTAAACAATTTTTATCACCAGAATCTCTATCTATCTTACATCTACCATTCGTCCATACATTGAATATTGTTGCCACATCTGGTCTGGTGCTTCTGCTATATATTTGGCAATTCTTGATGTTGTAACCTAGGCAAGGTTACTAAATAGAATAATCAATGAAGGTTGGTAATGAATGATAATACTCAGGACAAGACCAACACATATAAGATTTGCCAGCAGCGTGTAGAAGTAGTAGTCAACTGCTAGAAGTGAGTCAAGTGAATTCCACAATGAATCTCCAACTGCAGACCAACATACAGTATTTACTATTGTATTTATGTGAATTATCATCCATAGGTATGCTACAACACTTGATAAAATACAAAGAATCTGCAATGTCATCGGTCTTGAGCTGGCATCTTGGTTTAAGTCACTTTCCCACCACCATAATGTAGCTTCTCTGTGCCTTTTCTAGAAATATTTTTATAGTAATTGTTCTGATGAACTTTCCTCTATGGTACCTAGACTTTATGAATTTAAATGCAGTATTAGATTGGTAGTAAGGTAGGGACCAAAGGCACATGCCTGCACTAGAATAAAGATCAGGTGAAAGATTCAACCCAGAAGCCTTCCTGCTACAGTAAAGCATAAAGAAAAGATAAGTTATGGTATGGTGGGGGTTATTCTTTGGATTCGTCAAGCTTATACAATATCAGGAGTCCATTCACCGACTGAGCTATACTACTACAATGCACTCTTATAGATAAGCATACTCACGACCAGCCATATGATAATATTGTTGCATATTTTATTTATATTTCTTTTCTTTTTTTAATTGTTTCACCCCAAGCATCGTGATAATACCACGAGAATGCAGAGGGTTAGAGGGAATGAAAGAGAATAAGAAGTAAGTGGAGATAATTGAGGAAAGGACAATAAAGGAACAAGGTTCAAGAAGACAGAAGATGGCAATTGACACTGCATTTAAATTTTTGAAGATTGTAGTTATCAGGGAAGCAACAAAATCAGAAGGGAGTTCCACAGATAAGAAGTGCAAGAAAAGAAATTGTTAGAATAAAAGAGTAACTGTAAACAGTTTTATAAAAACTCATTTACGTCTTTTTTTTTGGTGGGAGCAAGAATGTATATTTGAAATATTTTTGTAAAATGTTTTTAAACAAGTTAATCAACAACCCAGTTCAACTTCTTTATGTGCCATGTCCCTTCAGGACATAGGTGATCATGGCTCTCCACAATTTCCTGTCCTTTGAAGCTCTTAATAAATTTTGACTTTTTGTCAACTCTTCCAAATGTTGTTCCACCATCCATTTACTCAAGTCCATTCTTCTTCTTCTTCTCTTCTTCTATGTGCCATGGACATAGGTGATCATGGCTCTCCACAATTTCCTGTCAAGTATCTCTTAATAAATTTTGTCTTTTTACTTCTCCTCTTAAACCTTGTTCTATTATCCATTTATTCCAGCTCACTAAGTTGGTTATACTTTATTTTCCTGTTCATCTTAGCTTCCATCTGTCCTGTGAGTATCAGATTTTCCAAACCCTCCTTCCTCATTATGTGCTACAATCCCCAAAATACAAAACTAGACTCTTACCTCAGCATTGGTTTTGGATGAAGGGGGCGCTTCCTGTGTATCTTTTGATGGTACAAGTTCTGACCGGTTTATAGTGGCCACTTGACTTGTCTGCTTACTGACAACAGTCGGTAACTTGTAGCTGAAGGTACTACGCTTGGCTTTGATGTTGATAATATCATTCCCACTTCCTGATAAAAAATGACAAAAAAAAATGATAAAACCATTGACTAACCTGTTATACTGAAAAAGTATATTACATGATGGTGGATTTTCTTCTTTTGTGGACAAAAAACTACAGGACCTCCTCCCAGACAAGGTAGTAAATAAAAACAACAAAAAAAAGGATTAGCCATCAATTGTAAGAAGACAGAACATATGGTTGTCATCAAGAGAAAATGCCGAAAGATGTGAACTACAAAATGTCAACATCAAATAAGTACAGAAGTTTAAATATCTGGGAAGTGTTTTAACACGTTGGTGGTGAATGTAGTCAATCGAAAAACTGACCCGTGCTTTCATAAGGATTTATTTTTATTATGAATGTATAGAAAAAATATCTGAGAAGTCTTTTAACAAAGGAGGGAAGATGTGACACCAAAATCCAAATGCACATTTGATTAGTTTAGTTTGGTTTGTTTTACGGCATATCAACACCTCAATGGGTTATTTAATGCTGACAAGATTTTTATTACTGGTAATGTTTTTTTCAAAAACATATTGTTGGTATTAAAATCTATTCTTATACATTTGACACAAGTTTGGGGGTTAACTATTTCCCCAATAGCAAGGACCCTAACAGGTGCTACCACCCAAGGTCAGGGTGGACCTAGGAACACCAGCAATTATGAGGTGGTTCCATGCTCCTCAAAAACTCCAGATCAGAGGCCTTACTGCCAGATGTAGTTTATTGTAATACCCAGGACACCTCATTGAAAGGGGGGGTCTTGCCCCTCTGCAGAGGTGCAGTTGGCATATTCTGAAGCCCCAGCTGACAGGGCATCATTGGATTAGTGAAAGATATATTCTAAAAGCTAAGCAAAGTACTAAGAAACAGGAAAATTTTGTTTAAAACGAAGACAAGTGTTCTCAACTGCTATGTAATATCTATCCTTTTTTTATGGTAGCAAATGTTGGATAATCTCCTCATAGATCAAGAGAAAACTGGAGGCAACAGAAATGTGGTTCTACAGAAGGATACTGAGAATTCTATGGATGAAGTGAGTAAGCAACAAGGAAGTCTTAAAGAAAATGATAACAAAAAGAACAATTATACTCAGACAGTGACATCTGAGATTTTTTGGATACATTACGAGGAAGGTGGGTTTGGAAAACTTAACACTCACAGGGCATATCAAGGGCAAAAGAGCTAGGGGAAGGTAGTGGGCCACCTAGCTGACAAAATTGTATAATTAGATGGCGGAATGATGAGCAAAAAGAAGAAATATTACTAAGATCCACAAGGGATAGGAAGTTGTGAAGGGTCATGATCACCCACGTCCTGAAGGGACATGGCACACAGAAAAAGGATGCCTGTTTATTTTCATTGTTGAGTTTTTACCCAGAAATATTTTTGTAATCCAATGAAAGCAGTGATGGCACCTATTCAAGAGACTTTATAAAAAAAATATGTTCTGCAACATTTGAAAGTGCAAGTTTAAAATTCTAGAAAGTGCATTTTCTTTATTAAGTTTCCGAAATGCACAGACCAATAGACATAATTCATAGTAATAAAAAAAAAAAATCAGGGAGTCTACTTAAACATGGGTATCCACAAAATGACGTTTCAAATAGTAGAAAATAATGTTGGATAGAAGGATTCATTGGCTCCTTAGAAAATACAAAAAAATGTGCAAAGGAAATAGAAACATGTTAGAGTTTTAACAGAAACAAGACTGTTCTTTTGGACTCTGGCCAGAATATGCCTCTAATACAATATATGTAAAATGCAAAGGAAATAGAAATCTTAAATACTTACTTTGTCTAACTCTGAAGTCAACAATTTGATATTTTTTGGCTGAGGGATCCTTACGAGGGTCATATCCAAAGCGTACCCATAGGCTACGCCAGGGTCCAGTGATGAAGTAGTAAGCAACAAGAGGGAGGATGTATTTCAGGTTATCACGACGGGAGTCAATATTACAGCAAAGCCCATTTCTTGACCAAATTGGTTTTTTCTTGAAGAGCTACAGAAAAAAAAAAAAAAATTCAGAAAAAAATGGTTTTATTTTCTTTTGTTTGACTTTTTCTGTAAAAATATTGCAGAAATTGGAAATATCTACATAAGGTGTATTATGAGTAAAGTCTGGACAAGTATCCAAGAGAATGGTATATATGTATGAAAATAGGAAAGAACTTGTTAGGTAAATATTGATACAAATTATTACCCCTTACGCCCCCTATTTTTAAAATAATTGCTCTAGCCGTTACCTTAGTAATTTTAATTTTAATAATGAATATGTTTATAAAACGCATAAATTTCAAGATTTAGTTATTCCAAAAAAAATTTCGCTTGAAGATGGAACAGAGTTTGGTACTTTAATTCAATTTAATTCAAATAATTATATTGAAGTTTTCAGCTCTTGTTTTGAAACATGAGAACTCTTATGTAGCATTGGAATCATATTTTTAAATAAATAATTATATATATATATATATATATATATATATATATATATATATATAGATAATATTAGTGGAAAATATACATACATATGAAAAATATATCTAAAAAATTCCATACATGTATATTTTCAGAAAAAAAAATTTTCCAAGAGGAAGGATCCAGGTAGAACTCAATGTCTAGGACAGAGTAAGGATATAATAAAAGGCTTAAACACTAATATTCCATGGTCATAATTTATTCCATTGGAATCGTAAATACGATCCAAATCATCAGACCTACAAATTCAAAAATGAAAACAGAAAAAAACAACTCCGAAATCAAAACAGAATTTAGAGAAAGTGTAAGTATGAGGAGGAGTGACATGAAACCTTAACAGAGAGAGTTTTTGGAGATGTGGGTGGGGTGGATTTTAAAAGAGGAGAGAAAGAAAGTCGACGGATGTCTAATACATAAAGATACATTTAAGTGGTGACATATACACACCACAGACAATTCGGATAGGAAGGAAAAAAAAAAAAAAAAAAAAAAAAAAGGGTGGGGAGAGAGATGGGATGAAGGAAAATAAAATTGTGTTTACTTAAAGGGCCGCTTTGTAATTGGGAAAATTAGTATAGACTACAGGTTATGAATCAAATATAAATATATGAAGATGAATATAACGATTGTCTCATTTCGCAAGGACCAAATATTTCTATGTTCAAAAACACATACTAATACACACAAAAAAAATATATATATGACAATTTTGATAAAAGCAACTTGAAATTAAACAACAGACTCAGTGGACTTATACCGCTGGTATGACCCAAGGATTGAGATAAAAGAGGAAAGTGTGATTTTTAACTCGAATATTTCTGTTTTATGGTTGGCAGATGAGGTCTTTGAAGTTGGGTCTTCTAAGCAGTACCCACTTTACAGAAGGAGAACAAGTAAAAGAAAACATTTGCAGTCAAGTGACAACAAAACTGGACATAGAGAATTTCCGGCCACAGGTCAGGATTACAAGTGACAGATGGAGACAAGGATTTTAGTTCTGGTTTTCCCAAGGCTGGCGACAGACTGTAATTCAAGTAGTTCCAATACCTCACTTTCATGTTGCCAGCCAAACTTAGATGGGCAGAATGTTGGCAGGAGGGAAGATCTGATCATTTCGTCCGACATGGTAGAATTTGCCCCAAATGTTACCTGCTTACCCACCCTGCCCTAGCAAGCAAAGCCCTGAATAAAGCCTATTAGAAACAGGCTTCTGGTTCTCATTTCTTGATGTGGCATTTGTTTTCATCTTTCTGTTCTTTGTGAACGTGCAACGGGCCTTTTCCCGGTTTTATATAACTGACAGTTTAGATATTTTTTCTGAATGTGTTTGGTACCATGCTTGATATGCATATGAAAATCTCAATCTAACAAGGCTATTTATGTTATATGGGCTAATCTATCTAAGCTGTTGCAAGTCCTCAAGTGATATGGTTTCTGCAATCTTGTACAAATCTTTGTTCACCTAGTATTCTTTATATATATGGTGAACATATCCACATGAAAGTGAATGCAATGAACTCAACTGGAAATCAAACTCAGCTCACCAATTTCTCCTTCCTACCTGCTAGCCACTACACCAGCAACATATCCAATGATATAACTAAATTATATAAATATAACATATGTGTATATAAATGCTACCCTTTTTTGCTTTTGAATATCACATTAGTATTAATATACAAGAATAATTATAATAGCAAAACATTTAACAGGAACAATTCATACAGAAAGTGAAGATATATATATATATATATATATATATATATATATATATATATTCAACTATCAATAAATAGCATAATTTAAAAAACATCTTTCAGTTTACATATATTTCATTTTAGTGTTTACCTGTGTATGGCAAAATTGCGCCCTGAAGATGACAATTTGAAATTGTCGAAAGTACCTGGCATGTGTCTTCCATCTGACAACAACTCGAATATAAGGATATTATTATTCAATGAACTGATAGTAAGTTAATGTCTCATTAAGTTCTGTTAGTGAACTGATTTCACCATTAATCAAATTAAAATTTTTATTTAATTGTTTGTATAAATTGTTGCTTTATGATATGAAATATAAGCTTTACACTCTAATATATATATATATATATATATATATATATATATATATATATATATATATATATGTGTGTGTGTGTGTGTGTGTGTGTGTGTGTGTGTGTGTGTGTGTGTGTGTGTGTGTATGTATATATATATATATATATATTTTATTTATAAATTTATATATATATAATTATTTATATATTATATGTGCGGTACTTATAAGAAATATGTATTTATACATACACACATACAGGGTGCGATGTGTAAATTGTTGTTATTTTATATTTTTAATTCCATGCATGCATGTGGTCTGTTTTTGATTTTGTTGACTGCATGGTATAGTAAGGTCAGTTGGGCACCGTCTACGAAAAAAAGCGAACCCTGACACAATTTACTCCAGCAGAAATTTGGAAACAGCATGTTGTACTGCTTGGCATTCATGCCAGAAGTTCCAATACTAACATTTCAGAGTGTTTTGGTGTCAATCTGAGGACAGTGTAGAAGATTTGGAAAAAAAGAGTTGGATGAGTCTAATGGTGATTATGAAGGTATGGCAGCTTAGAAAACACACACTGATCATTCTGAGAAGAAAAGAACTCCTGAATTTGTTGATGAAGACCCCAGACTCAAAATGGAGACCTACATCAAGTACTTTGAGAATATAATGCTGCCCTGAGTCAAGAGGGTGGCTGCTGGAAGACCCTATGTCTGGCAACAGGACTCTGCCCCATGCCACACAAGCAGAAGAACCCAGTCATGGCTATCAGACAATTTCTGTGGTCACATAATCCCTTACATATGGTCACCTATCTCCCCAGACTCTAACCATGTTGATTATTATGTGTGGGGTGTAGTTGAACAAGAGACCAACAAAACTCTTTATAACACCAAAGATGAACTGAAGGCAAGGATTATGGCAGCATTCACCAACTTAATCACAGAAGAGTTACAGGAGACTTCGAAGTCGTCTGAAGGCCATGGTTGAAGCCAATGGCAATTTTATTGAATAAATTTACTCTAGTATTCCAAAATATTTTTGTATAATTTTGGTAAATAAATCTGTTGAAATGAGATGCTTGTTCCATTTAGACAACAATTTATCAATCGTGCTGTTAATGATATGATAAAGAACCAATAGGAAATGTTTATCTCTTTAAGATGTTTAACTTTTATAAAAGCTTCTTCATAGAATGGAATATGGGGGGGAAGCAGAAAGAAATACTGGTATTTTCACTTTTGTGTTATCTGATTTTCATTGGTTAATCATGTTTCATGTACATTTGACTTGTTAAACAAATGTTAGTATAATTTGTGGCATTCAAAAAATATATTGCTGGTATTAAACCTATTTTTACACTTTCATAGTGTTTTGACCCCACTTTGGGGGTCAACTATTTGTCCAGAGCTGGAACCCAAACAGCTACCACCCCGGGTCAGAGTGGACCTGGGAACACCAGCAATTATGATATACATGTTCCTCAAAACCTCCTGATGAGAGGCCTTACTGTCAGATGTAGATTATCATCTTACCCAGGAGGCGGATGTAGTTTATCATCTTACCCAGGACGTGGATGTAGATTATCATCTTACCCAGGACGGTATATTTATGGGTTAAAGTGCTCAATATCAGGGATAAAGCACAAGTAAATATAAACATGGCCTGAAGATTACATTTAAGCATGAAACAGACTGTTGCCACTGGGTGGTGACCTCAATGTCCAATTTTATATCTTTTTGCATAAATTTTAATCCCTACAGAAAATATTTATCTGTGTATAGTGCAAGTGGTCACCAAAAATGCATAATTTTGAACCTCTTCATAAAAATTACCTGTGACCCCCTACTTTTTGCATTAAAAGCTGACGATAAAAACTAGTACTATACTTAAGTGTATACGGGTATATAAATATACGGACAGCAACAAAGGTTGTTTTTTTTTTTTTTTCTCACAGCCTCTTTTTCAACAGGCAGTATTTTCCCAGACCAGTTCCAAATGTCTTTTGAATCAATTTTCTGACATTTACCAAAATGCACAATTTGAATTTCATGACACAGGAAGCTAGTAATCTCTAGTTCTTTATACAACTTCATTAAAATAATATCAAGGAAAACTAAAGGTACAAAGTTTAGCACCTCCTGCATATCTAGAATATAAATCTCCATCATGTAAAGTCAAAAACAATTGGGCAAGCGAGTGGAATACAATTGAAATGCTCAATTATACATTGTTCATAATGAAACAATTTTAACCCTTCCACAGTTGCACTTAGCAATTACCACATGGTTGCCATATTTGACTTGGGCCAAATAAAAATATACATTGTTGAGACACTTAAATCTCTTCTTTGTATATTTTCTGCTGTTAACACATTTTGGTCATTCACTTTTTTGGTCTTCCTCAAGAGAAGAGGAAAAGCCGTCTACCAAAAGAAACAAAATTTTTTTTTTCCTCTTCTGAAAT